TGTAAAGAAACACAGAAACAGAACACTGTGTGACACCATGAGCTCCTCTTATTGCCCTGTATATCTTGGAAAAGCTTTTATCTGTTTGTTTATTTTGAAATTGTCTTGGCATGAGTCTGTGATATATATTCACCTTTGAATGTTTGTACTGATATGGTTTAGTGTCTTGAAGACTGTGTGGGCGGGGCACAATCACGTGCATGGCTCAGACATGATGTAAAGACATGAACAGAGTCAGCTGATTTAAACACCAGGAGGTCACTGAACCTCTTTACACTGAAAACTATGTAGAATAAAACTCGTCTCTTTGTCTCTCTGTGTCTTTGTCTCTTTGTCTCCTCTCTCTGTGCAGGAGTATCTTCTGTCAGCAGATTGATGGATGACGTAGCTCAACAAAGACACTGGGACACATCTGAGTGTAACGTTTAAGCTCTTATGTTTCTGTAGGACTTCAGCTTCACTGGACATTTTAAACATTTGTTAGAAAAGTCATCAAACATAATCAAATATAATAAGTTACATTACTCTGATAAAGTCATTAAAATAGTTACATTACTCTGATAAAGTCATTAAAATAGTTACATTACTCTAATGAAGTCACTGAAATAGTTACATTACTCTGATGAAGTCATTGAAATAGTTACATTACTCTCAACTCAACTCAACTCAACTTTATTTATATAGCCCTTTAAAACAGCCACGGCTGAAACAAAGTGCTGTACATAAATAGACAAAGCAACACAGGTACATAAAATAATTAACAGGAAATAAATATTAAAATAATTGTTTATTGTTTTTAAAATAATTTAAAAACAATAAAACAATAAATAAAACAAACCATAAAACACTAAAACAGAAACAGAGTCTCATGCGGAGTTGAAAGCCAAGGAATAAAAATGGGCTTTTAGACGAGTTTTAAAAATGGACAGTGAGGAGGCTTGTCTAATGTGGAGGGGTAGCTTGTTCCACAATTTAGGAGCGGTAAAGGAAAAAGCTCTGTCCCCTCTGAGCTTGGACCTCTGCACCTCCAGAAACAGCAGATCAGCTGACCTGAGGCACCGAGCAGGAGCGTAGGGGTGAAGAAGCTCAGAGAGGTAAGGTGGGGCCAGACCATGTAAAGATTTAAAAACTAATAAAAGAATCTTAAAATGGACTCTAAAGTGCACAGGTAGCCACCTATAATATACCTCCTATAATACACCTCCTTTGATACTCCACCTATAATACACCTCCTGTAATACACCACCTAGAATACACCTCCTATAATACACCACCTATATTACACCACCTGTAAAACACCATCTATAATACACCACCTGTAATACACCTCCTATAATACACCACCTATAATACACCACCTGTAATACACCTCCTATAATACACCTCCTATAATACACCACCTATAATACATCTCCTATGATACACCTCCTATAATACACCACCTATGATACACCTCCTATAATACACCTCCTAAAATACACCACCTGTAATACACCTCCTGTAATACACCATCTATAATACATTACCTCTAATACATCTCCTATGATACATCTCCTATAATACACCACCTATAATACACCTCCTATAATACACCACTTATAATACACCACCTGTAATACATCACCTATAATACACCACCTGTAATACACCTCCTATAATACACCACCTGTAATACACCATCTATAATACACCACCTGCAATACACCTCCTATAGTGCACCTCCTATAATACACCAACTATAATACACCACCTGTAATACACCACGTATATTACACCACCTGTAATACACCATCTATAATACACCACCTGTAATACACCTCCTGTAATACACCTCCTTTGATACACCTCCTATAATACACCACCTATAATACACCACCTGTAATACACCACCTATAATACACCTCTTGTAATACACCTCCTATAATATACCTCCTATAATACACCACCTATAATACACCTCCTATAATACACCACCTATAATACACCACCTGTAATACGTCACCTATAATACAGCACCTGTAATACACCTCCTATAATACACCTCCTATGATACACCTCCTATAATACACCACCTATAATACACCACCTATAATACACCTCCTGTAATACACCTCCTATAATACACCACTTATAATACACCGCCTATAATACTGCACCTATAACATACCACCTATAATACACCACCTATAATACACCACCTGTAATACACCTCCTATAATACACCTCCTATAATACACCACCTGTAATACACCACCTGTAATACACCATCTATAATAAACCTCCTATAATACACCACCTATAATACACCACCTGTAATACGTCACCTGTAATACGTCACCTATAATACACCACCTGTAATACACCTCCTAATATACACCACCTATAATACACCTCCTATAATACACCTCCTATAATACACCACCTATAATACACCTCCTGTAATACACCTCCTATAATACACCACCTATAATACACCTTCTATAATACACCACCTATAATACACCACCTGTAATACACCACCTATAATACACCTCCTATCATACACCACCCATAATACACCACCTGTAATACACCACCTATAATACACCTCCTGTAATACACCTCCTATAATACACCTCCTATAATACACCACCTATAATACACCACTTATAATACACTGCCTATAATACTCCACCTATAATATACCACTTATAATACATCACCTATAATACACCACCTGTAATACACCTCCTATAATACAACTCCTATGATACACCTCCTATAATACACCTCCTATAATACACCTACTATAATACACCACCTGTAATACACCACCTGTAGTACACCACCTATAATACACCTCCTATAATACACCTCCTATAATACACCACCTATAATACACCTCCTATAATACATCTTCTATGATACACCTCCTATATTACACCACCTATGATACACCTCCTATAATACACCTCCTATAATACACCACCTGTAATACACCATCTATAATAAACCTCCTATAATACACCACCTATAATACACCACCTGTAATACGTCACCTGTAATACGTCACCTATAATACACCACCTGTAATACACCTCCTAATATACACCTCCTATGATACACTTCCTATAATACACCACCTATAATACACCACCTGTAATACACCTCCTATGATACACCACCTATAATACACCACCTATGATACACCTCCTATAATATACCTCCTGTAATACACCACCTGTAATACACCATCTATAATACACCACCTGTAATACACCTCCTGTAATACACCTCTTATCATACACCTCCTATAATACACCACCTATAATACACCTCCTGTAATACAACTCTTATAATATACCTCCTATAATACACCACCTATAATACACCTCCTATAACACACCACCTATAATACTCCACCTATAATACACCACCTATAATACACCACCTGTTATACACCACCTGTAATACACCACCTGTAATACACCTCCTAATATACACCTCCTATAATACACCTCCTATAATACACCACCGATAATACTCCACCTAGAATACACCACTTGTAATACAACACCTATAATACACCTCCTATAATACTCCACCTATAATACACCACCAGTAATACACCACCTGTAATACATCACCTATAATACACCACCTATAATAGACCACCTATAATACACCTCCTAATATACACCTCCTATAATACACCACCTGTAATACACCACCTGTAATACTCCTCCTATAATACACCTCCTAATATACACCTCCTATAATACACCTCCTATAATACACCACCTATAATACTCCACCTATAATACACCACCTGTAATACACCACCTATAATACACCTCCTATAATACACCTCCTATAATACTCCACCTATAATACACCACCAGTAATACACCACCTATAATACACCAACTATAATCCTCCACCTATAATACACCACCTGTAATACACCACCTATAATACACCACCAGTAATACACCACCTGTAATACACCATCTATAATAGACCACCTATAACTTTATGGATTACTGTTAATTTATTATGCTGATATGTTCTGTACGACATCTATTGCACGTCTGTCCGTCCTGGAAGAGGGATCCCTCCTCAGTTGCTCTTCCTGAGGTTTCTACTTTTTTTTCCCCTTTAAAGGGTTTTTTGGGGAGTTTTTCCTTATCAGCTGTGAGGGTCATAAGGACAGAGGGATGTTGTATGCTGTAAAGCCCTGTGAGGCAAATTGTGATAATAGCTGGAGGGAAACACAGCCACACAGTAACTGCATAAAGTCCTCAGACAGAGATCACCTGACTCACCTGAGACAGGGAAGGTAAATCAAACACTCCTCCCTGCTCCTCTCAGGTGACCTCGCCTTCACTTAATAACAGAGTATACATGCTGCCCCCCTCTGGTCATTCACCTGAACAGCAGCCAACATGGTGTGTGTGTGTGTGTGTGTGTGTGTGAGTGTGTGACACACTTCTCCTTCTCCCTGACACATCATACACAAAGCTAATATGATGTCATCACTGCCATGTTCTCCAGAGACTGAATGGGGTCTCGATCAGGTGACCTGCGACCTGTCACGTGTGTGTGTGTGGAACATTTCCTTCAGTAAAACCACACACACACACACACACACACACACACACAACATGGATCAGAAATAACTGATCAATCAGTGGTCAGTTCCGATCAGGGGCGGAGTCTGTTTATTCTTCTGTGTGTTTGAATGTTGACTCGTGTGTATGAAGGACTGTCTGGGGACTGGTCAGGAGAAACAATCACTGGTTATACTGGTTATACTGGTCAGAGACATGAACCTGTTCACAGGTGTTTATATTCAGCTTCAGTGGAGCTGCTGCCCCCTGCTGGACATAACACGTCATCACAGCTGTCAGTGAGTGAGAGCTGGTCTCAGGTCAGTTTGTATTACAGCAGGCAGGGGGCGGGATCAGCTCCACTGACCAATAAGAGCGGAGCAGGAGCGTTACCAAGGAAACGGCGTACAGGTCTGAGAGACGGTGGAGGCTGCTGCAAAAATGCTAACAGGCTAACTAGCTCGTTAGCTCACAGTTGAATAATCAGCGGCTGATTAATATTTAAAATAATTCTCCTCGTTAAACATTAAAGTTGTCGCCGGAGTTTGGTCTGTTTCCCGCGGTCACCGCCCCGCAGTGTGTCGGAGTTAGCCAGTTAGCATGGCAGCAGCTAACTACCGAGGCTAACGGCAGGTGATTAGCTTAGCACGCTAACCGAAGCAAATTTAAATATTATCCGGATAATAGTGACTGAAGGTCCGCGGGCTCAGCGGAGTGTAGCCCGTTAGCAGGGAGATACCTGCTGGGTGTGACCCGGGATGCATGTGAGTTAACGGGCGGACTGGGCCGGTGTGACCCGGGTCTGAGCTTCTCTGGACGGAACCCGTGTGTCGAGTCGAGCCGAGGGGTTCCCCCCCAGCAGCAGCCCGGTCCTCCGGGGCCGGGGGACGGCAGAGCTCCACACCGCCTGTCAGGCCCCGAGTCTGGGATGAGATGAGCTGCAGCGGACCGGAGGGCCCGTTAACCCGTGTTAAACAGGTAGGCTGGCCGGTATACCGGGATGGTTCAGGTGTGAACACCCTCCGGTTCTGTTAAACACTGAGTCCAGATGTTCTGCTGCTGCAGTATCAAAGTAATAATGAAATGATTGACCCTGTGATGTCAGGTCCGCGTGGACAGGTAGGGCTGCAGGAGTTTGAGCTGATTAAGGCACTGTTCGTTTCTTCTGAGGGGAGCAGGTGCTGCTGAACTGGGGAGGCATATCAGGTGACTGTTCAAGCTTTGTGGAGGGACTGTTTGTTTAATGGAGGGACACACAACTTTAAAGGTTGTAATTTGTATTTGTAAAATACCTTCTGAACCCTAAAGCCTGTTTAAAAGACACGTGTTCTTTAAAAAGTTGACAAGATTGTTACATTTATAAAAGTCAGGATCTGTAAAACATGGTCCTGTTGTCACATGACACCGTGCTGCAGGTCCTGCAGGAGTTCACACACAGATTGTGTAATGGTGTGATCAGTCAGGAGTAATTACAGTTAGCGGGGTGCTGCTCGGTGCTTTTGGCGTGAATATTAAAAATACCTGGTTATATATTGTGGAGTGTCTGAGGGAGGCTCAAGGAAAATATTTGTAGCTCTTTAGAGGATGAGATGTATATCTGTTTATATATTCTGTCAAATGACAGAAAATAACAATAATAATAATAACTGTTACAGTCAGGGCTGTAACTAACTGACTAATAGGGATGCATGATATTAGTTTTTTGCTGATATATGTTGATATATAACAATTCATTTGGCTGATAATCGATACAGATGTGTTCATATTTTATGGAAACTCTTGCATCTTTCTTCTGACTGAATACACATCTTCATCAGTGTGCTCGTACCCCGGGTTTATCTTTATATGTGTTTTCATGTTTGTAGGTGAACTGATGTCACACCCTGCTGTAAGATCATGTATTTGTATTGTGTACTACTCTTTGTTCATTGTCTTAATTATAAAGAACATTTTTTCTTTCAAGTTTGAAAACAGCCCTGAGTACAGTAATACCTCACAGCCTTCTGTTTTCTCATCGAGTTTTACTTTGTGTTGGTTTAAGACATTTGTCAAACAGACAAAAACACACAAAAACTCGTGTTTAAATCCCAGATGAAGACCTGCAGCGGTCCAAACGTGTCGGCTCTTTGAATGATTTAGCCATTACGATTAAGGCTTTTTAATACTTTCTTCCTGGTCTCCTATATTGATCGCTTTCTTGTGTATCCTGTTGTTTCCTGCTCTCCATCAGCACCTGACACAATGTTCTGATCTACATTTGATTACGCAGAGCAGCCAGTCATCTCTGTTTCTAAAAAATGTATCTGTCATATTGGCAGAAATCTGCACGTTGGCCAATTCCGATATTTGATTTCAAAGCTGATACCATCTGACAACAATGACGTATTGATATTATCGTGCAACCCGAGTAACTGAGCTACTCCTTATTAAATCTGCAGATGAGTTACTCAGTCAGCTGATTAATGAATTGGTCCATGAAATGACAAAATACTGAGAAGTTTTGATCAGTTTCCAGAGAGATTTGTCTGTTCTGGGCTAATGTAGAAACATGTGACATGATGATCTCTGTAGACGAGGACCTTCTCCCTATATAGATATAAACGTCTCATTCTGAGGGAACAAGAACACAAGCATAAGATTATATTTAAATCCTTCACACTGGAGCTTTAACTCAACATAATGAGGTGAATATTGATCGGACAGTGTCTACAGATGATTAGACTGGTTGAGCAGCACCCTGTGAGCAGTTCTGTGTTCTGCTCACCTGCTTCAGTCTCCTCACAAAATGAATTAGCAGCACAAAGGGCATGCGTCATTAAACAGGTAGAAGGTAGGTAGGTACTTTATTAATCCCGAAGGAAACGGCAGAAAGACAGAGCTTTGTTTTCTCTGGTAGCTGTTGGCAGCCGTCTCCAGTTAGCAGAGTATCAGTGTAAGTTCTCTGCAGTTATGATCCCTGCAGAGGAACTCCTGAAGGACAGGTGGAAGACACTATGTCCTCTGCTGTCCCGAGGACAACTGAAAGATCCAGGTGTCTCTGAGACGGAGACGCCAACAATTAAAAGACCACTCAAAGACGCTGCAGGAGACAAGTTGTCTGTTTTCACTTTAAATGATTCATCATTAACATATTTACAGATTTATTTTCAGAAGGTGAATGAGTGAACAGTGTGATGGTTACAGCTGCTCTGGGAAACACATTTACACATTTGTATTTTTATCTTTAAATAGAATCTCTAGATATTCTGACTTTATCTCTTAATATTATCTCTAAATATTCAGACTGTATCTCTTAATATTGTCTCTAAATATTCTGACTTTATCTCTTAATATTGTCTCTAAATATTCTGACTGTATCTCTTAATATTATCTCTAGATATTCTGACTTTATCTCTTAATATTATCTCTAAATATTCAGACTGTATCTCTTAATATTGTCTCTAGATATTCTGACTTTATCTCTAACATGAGATGATATGATTTAAAAACATTTTGTTGAGAGCGTTCTGATGATGCTCTCTGTGACTCAGTGACCATGAGCTCCGTCGTTATGTAGTAATGACATGAAATTTAAGTGAAGCTCTCTGATTGGTCTGTGATGATGACTCTGTGCAGGATGGACCTCTGCAGTAGGAACCCGAACCGCACGGCGCCGGTCGGTGATGACGGCCTGCAGGGAGGTGATGTGCCGCTCTGCTCCCGGACCAATGGGTGGAGCTGGCCCCCCCACCCCTTCCAGCTGCTGGCCTGGCTGCTTTACGTCTACTTTGCCGTCACCGGCTTCGGCGTGTTCGTCCCTCTGCTGCCCACCCACTGGATCCCTGCAGGCTACATCGTATCCTTTAACTGGTGGTGACGGAGCCTCAGGGCCGCTGTCAGCAGAAACAAAAAATAACCTGAGGTTCAAGAATAAAATCACGAAGACACTAAACTGTTGTAATATTACAGGATGTTAATATGTCCAGGCGGTCGGTCTGCTGTCAGAGGTTCACTACTAAAAACGTATCAGATTTTAGGACATCGACGTAAAAATGAAAACAGATGAACATGGTTGGAAGAGCTCCGCTCACCAACAGAGTCAAACATTTCTTTTCATAGCTTTAGGAAAGCTTTATAGATATAAAATCTCCATGGATAAAAAAATTCAGAATAACTGAGCGTGTTGTCAGGAGGACGCGTCCTGTTTACAGTTTGCAGACGTCTCTCCTATAACGGAGGTGTGAGGGGAAAATGATTTTTGGGCCGCAGGAGATTTTTTGTCGCTGCAGTACCACGAGAGGCCACTGGGAAAAATAGAAGGAAGGCTGAGCAGCATTCCCGGAGGTCTGATTCACATTGGTTCCACTCTTATATGTGCACATCAGCTGGTTAGCTTAGCTTAGCATTTAGAGTGTAAACAGGTGGAAACAGTCAGCCTGGCTCCTCTACGGCTTATCAACATGTTTACATTTGTTTCCAGTCTTTATGCTAAGCTAAGCTAACGAGCTGCAGACTAGGGCTGGGCGATAAATCGATTTTATCGATTAATTCGAATTTGTAGTTTAGGTCGATTTGTTTTAATGAAAATCGAGTTTCTCTTGAACATCCACCACCGACGCTCCCCGCTGGGCTCCCATAGTTCAGAGTGGGCTCACCCCTCACCCCCGCGTGCTTGATACACAAACATCACGGCAGAGAGCGGGGAGGAACTCGTTCCCAAGAAAGTGAACGAGTTCGGTTTTGTGACGTCAGACACAGAACAAACAGCACCCCGCTGCAAAGTGTGTTTGAAGGCTGTTGCTACCCAAGGTAGCAGTACTACCAATTTACTGCAGCACCTCAAACAGAGGCATGGTGCCGAGTGGGAGAGGTGTTGCTCCCTATGAAAATATCCCTATTCAAGGACTTGAATTTGTTATTTACGTGACAGCGCCTGAACGCAACACAGGCTCCTCTCCATAGACTGTGTGTTCGGTGCCGTGCTGCAGGTTCGGGCCAGGCTCGGTTATAATTGTCTCAGACTCGGGAAAATGCGTCCCGAGCCGCGCTCTAGTGTGGTCACCTGTGTATGTGTGTGCGCGCACGTGTCTGTGTGTGTGCGCATTGGGACCGAACTCTGCCGTGCGCGACACAGAGCAGAGGAGGATTGTAAACGTGTACCGTGTAGAGACAGAACGACATGCTGTTGTTTAAACAAGATAAATAACATAAGGCTCTTTAGTTAGTTTAATGAAAGGACAGGGTTTAGACCTGTTCTATAGGAAAGGTGACCTTAGATGACTTCTGTTGTGATCTGGAGCTAGAAAATAAAATGAAATAAAACTAACTTGATCTTCAAAGGTCGGGGGTGGGGGGGGGGGCAATATAATGGTAGGGGAAACACTGCCGTATAATGAGAAAGGGGTCCGGTGGAAAGCAATCACGGATGCAGTTGCGATGTATCTTGCAAGAGATACGGTGCCCATATTTACCGTGGAAAAGCCGGCGTTTATTCACATGCTGAAAGTTTTGGAGCCCATGTACGTGCTACCAGGCCTTAAATATTTTTCTGAAATTTGATTTTAAGTAGAGGAAAAATCAATTAAAATCGTGAATCGGATTTGTTGTTTTTTAGGCCATATCGCCCAGCCCTACTGCAGACTGAAGCTTCCTGAGAGCATGAACTCTCAGAGAGGGGGAGGAGACTAAATGTTGGACTCTTCTTTTAAACCCTGAGCTACAGTTTGCAGTTTGCAGTTTGCAGTGCGGCGGCATATCTCTAAAAATGACACCTTTTGATTTTAAATATTGTGACTTTATCTCTGAATATCTGATTACAACTTGAACTGTAAATATTAGAGCTGAGATAGGATGGTGTCACACTGTCTTTGAGCTACAGGTGGCGCTGACACACCAACAAACAGTGAAGAAGAAACAGCAGGATTTGAAGCAGATGTTTTATGGGGGAGGAGACACGTTCAGTGTGTTGGTTTGATTCACACAAAAACTGAACTTGTGATGTTTCAATAAAAAACTCTAAAGGGAGCTTTAATTCTTTAAATCTGGGATTTGAACAGTTCTCCTCCTCCGTCCTTTTATTTATTGATCATGTTTAGTCGTTTATTTCACAGAGACGCTGTTGGTGAGTCAGATTTTGTCGGAGTGTCTGATGTCACCTCCCAGCTGACAGCTGATGTCTCCAAACAGCTGATGTCTCAGTCTGACTGACGGGTCATTGCCTGGTTTTTGTTTTCAGTAGGAACAGATTGACAGACATTTTTAATGAGTGAGTGAATGAATGAATGAGCTGTGAGCGTTTAGTTTCCTGATCTGTGCGTCAGTGTACGGGCGTCATGTTCGTGTGTCACCTGTGTGTCCATGTGATGGCCGTGTCCATCGACCCGGCCGACTACAACGTCAGGACGAAGAGCGATAAAGGTCCTGTCCCCGTGTTCGACCGCTCCAAACACGCCCACGTCATCGAGAACTGTCACTGCTACCTCTGTCAGGTGGATGTGTGAGTACCAGTTGCACACACATACACACACACTCACTGTTTCCTGTGTGTTGTGTGGTGTTCTGAAGTGTCACAGGTTTGATCCTCAGGGGACCACGAGCATCTGAACATTAAATGAGGATTTATAAAAA